GTAAAATGAATAGAAGTCAATTACTGTATATAGTAACTATTAAGTCTAATATATATACCCTAGTAAGCTATAGTACTTTTTCTTTGGGAGGTACCATCTGTGCAGTCTGCAATTTTGTTGAAGAAAGATGTTGAATCTAGTTAATATTCTTGAAAATAATTGATTTCTGTGCATTTTTTTTCACACTGCGTCAAATTAAGGTTGATTACGTCGATTAAGCATCATGAGGTGGCGCGTGAGGGGTGGTTCCCTATTTTTTTATTTTTTTATTTTTGTTGTTGCTGGGAGTGGAGCCCTATTAGTTAGGTGCTTAATATTTATGCTAAGTACTCTTTAAATACCAGAATAGGGAGGATGGTGTAGGTTTAAGTTTATTAGATTGATCAGTATTGCTGAACTATGAAATTTTTTTTTTTTGCATACAGGTATAACAGAATGCTTTAGTGTAGTTGTTGTTTTAAATTGAGTATGAACTTATACAAAATGCAGCAAGATATTTAAAAAACAGTTTGTTGATTAAAAAACCTATAATCATATATCGGTATTCAATTTTGATATCGGTATCCGGCATAAAAACGGTATCCCATCTTAAGTATATTGTCCTCCTGGTTGGATTCTGAGGCTGCTGCTGTCACTGGCTGAAATTCATTGCACTTAGGCTAAGGCACTAAAAATATACTTTGAATTTCTCTGGTTGCTAGAACCAGTGGTCACCTGTATATTTACATAGAAAGTATGTTAAATACCCAACAAGTGCTAGAAGAAGCAGACCAGAAGTCGTGCCTTACTGCTGAAACAAACACATTTAATCTGAAGGGGAATGCTCTCTGCGCTTCACACTATTAACAGTTTCACTGCCGCTACCAAAGAGTTGGCAAGTGCTTGTAAACAAGTCGCAAGCTACAAGTCACTGCGGCAGTCTGCTAGCGGCCAAATTGATCGTAATAAGGTTTTCGGGGTAGCACCATACATTTCTTTGAGACCAACTTCACCTACCAACTGCCGGCAACCTCTTGCGAAGCAGTTGGAGAATACACGTTTTTGCCTGGAGACTGAAGGTTGCCAGCAGGTTGCTATCCAGTGTCTAGGCCTGTGTGAATGACACCTAAGGACCACCTCTCTCAAGCACTTTGTTACTTTTTTTAAATTAAAAAACATGCATTAGAATTCAAATTTCCACTTTAGGCTGCATTGTGTTGAGATTATTGCCTGCCATGGTCTTAAAGTTCCCATATTTGAACAAAAGGGTTCTAGGGACTTTTAACACCATACAGATGAGTGTGGTGAGTTCATGCTTAAAATGTGCATTGGCATCCACACGACAGTTTAACTTTCCCCTGTGCTTATAAAGGTTTAAGTCAGCTATAGAGAACAAAACCATTTTTAGCATCAGGCAGTTATTTCTACTTTAGAATTTGCCATTTTCACATAAGAGTCTACCGCTACTGATCGCTACAGTAGTCAGCCTCAATCGGCCACCAGAGGAAATCGAACTCTTTACATATTTTCAATTTGTTCGTGTGGGTTGCAGCTGGTTTCCACACATATATGCGAGGTACTCATGTATCCCCCCCATATTCTTTATTTGTTCTGTGCCTGTATCTGATCTGTACCTGATATATGCAGCGTAACAATGAAACTAGCGTTCCAACATACTGAATTTCTTCTCTTCTCTCAGGAAAACACTGCAGTTTAAGTGAGGAGGGTCATCCCTCAGTGCATCCGGCATCATTTGCATGCTGAAGTACAATGTATGAGAAGAAGTGTGATTGCTGCTGTTTTAAAGTAGTAGTCCTCATAGGGCAGAATGGGCTCATCCTGGTTGGCTTAGCATTTAAATTTAGATATTCAGGGTTAAGTGACTCCAGCGCCCCGTTAGTGTGTGAATGCCGTGTGAAATGGAACAGTTGATCCTTTAGAGGAACCAAGCTCAGGGTTACTGTGCTGAGCTTTAAATTCTGCTTGGTGCAAGACCCGTCCGTAACATAAAGCGCTTTAATTTTAAGTGCTGTTAAAAATATGTTTAACCCTAATTTTAACACCAACTCTGACCTTCCACCTGCTCACTGTAGCCTTCAACCAAGTCATGAGTCATGAGGAAGTGGTGACAGGACAAAGCTATGCAGCTATGTGAGTACGTTCTCATCACATCCATCCACTGCCTTCTGAAATAAGCAGGCCACAAATGCTTTGAAACCCTCTCCACCTTGGTGGGATAGAATTTTTTAAATACAGCGCCTTGATTTGTACGTGACATATCATCTCATTCTGCTGCAAAGCTGTTGACAAGCACTTAAAACTGTGTAAGTATCTCCGATAAGCCTGAGCCAAAACATAAGGTCAGAGTCTGTGTTTATGTGTGACAGGGGAGCTTGATACAGACGGGGACACCCAGACGGGGCTGTCCAGGATGAATCTGAGCACTAACACATGCAGGAGAGCAGTGTGTGAGAGACACACACAATGCCTGCCAACTTGCAGATGAGCGCTAATGACTGAGGATTTGCCTTGGCTGAGATAAGAAAGGATCTTACGGAAAGCAGATGGGCAAAACAGAAAGGAAAGCGAGGGGAGACGCCGAGGGACAGTGAGAGAGAAAACAAAGAAATGAAGACGAGCGTGACATTAAAGTGGAAACGAAAAGTTGAGGTGAAAACTATGAGGAGAATTATGTCTGCGTTAAGAACCCAGAAGATTTGAATGAATAAAACTCACAACTCTGGAGGGAACTGAGGAATAAAGGCACAGACGAGGTGAGAAAAATAGAAAAAGACCGGAGAATACACAGCGATAAAGACATGTGAGTGACTGCATGTTTGTTGGAAAACACTAAAATAGAGCTACAGAATTTTATTGTGTGAAATAGATTGTGGTGGTTGTGTTTATTGGGTATTTTCAACCTATATTTAGTGCTTTAAACAGATTTAAAATGACCTTAATGTGACTTAAACTTGTTTCGGCTGTAATGGCCTTTCTATTCTTCTCCCCTCACCCTGCCCCTCCCTGAGCCTGGCTCTGTCAGAGGTTTCTTCCTGTTAAAAATGAGTTTTTCCTCCCTATTGTTGCCAAGTTCTTGCTCATAGGGATCTCTGAATATTTCAGTTCACTGTATTACTGTAGTGTCTTCACCGTATTATCTAAAGCAACTTGAGGTCACTGTTGTTGTGATTTGGGGGCTGTATACATAAGCTGAATTGAACTGAATCCATCCAAAGGAACTTGTTAGAGTACATAAGTGCAGTTATTATTGTGTGTCCCCTCAACAACCCACACCGGTGAAAGAAGGAGATGACTTGAAAAAATATAAACATTAGTCAGGTGGGAATGCTTCTGTCAGGAGTGTTCTCTTTTTATTTCTGCAATGGGTATTTTTACTCCCAAAATATGAATAAAATTAAAAGTTCATATAAGCCTCAAATCTTTGGGTAAATGTAATTATCCCTGCCACTGTCAAAACACAATTCACACATGCCAGAGAGCTTCTCTGGTTCTGTGTATGCAGGCAGGTTAAGAAATATGGGTGTGATGGCTTCTATAAAAGCTTGGGTATCTTTGAAATCATCCCAAAATTAAATGCATGCAATATATTTTTAATATGAACTTTTTCAAAATGAGGAAAAATCTGAAGTGGAAAGGTTGATAAATCAAAATACTAAATAAGATAATTGATTCGTCATCGATGTAAACAGGTCATGATGTTAAGGCCTAAAGACCAGTTGATGACAGCCTGTCAACCATTGGTTGCTAGGGAAAAATGACTATTCTTCAACCACCGCTCAAACCTAAAGTGACTGTGGCAATCCATTACTTTGAGACCAAAACAATCGCAAAGAGGTATGTGGCATAGTGCTTTCTGATTTCACCCAGTGGTTGCTGGACGTTGCTGGTAGTTGCTGTGAAACTGACAGCTAAAACCCCAGTGAACAGGTCTAGAGACTGGCTGGCGAGACCCCGGCAACCTCCGAGTATTCCATAAATGGAACACTGATGAGTATTGTTTGCTGCTGCTAGGTGAAATTTGTTGCAAAGGTGTGTACAGTGCTGCACTTTGAGCCTCCTTGTGACTGCTGTGGTTGCTAGCAGACTGCCACAGTCACTCATAGTTTACATGAAAGACAATGCCTTGTCTATAAGAACTCGCCAACTAAGTGGTTATGAAAGTGTGAAAATTTGACACAAATCAGAAGTGCAGATTGTTTGCCTTCAAAAGAAAGAGAATTTTCAAAATAAAAGACCCTCTGATAATCTGCTTCGGATGTCTCTCACCTGTATTCCTGATGTAAAGAGTTCTCAGATAAGTTTTGCAAATGAAGTAATGCAAAAAAACCAAACAAAACAAAAGATTTTTTTTAAAGGAGCAATTTTATGCTGTTAAAAGGCTGCTGTACTCCTTTGTTCCTTGCCCCACAGTTTCTGTATGTGTGCAGCTACTATGGATCCTTTATATTGAAAGACAATGAATTGTACTTTTGCCACAGCGTTTATCTGTAGCTCAGCGTGCTGGATTTCAGAAAGGACAACCTTTACATCATGCCGTAATCACCTTGAACTTACAAGTGAAACTGACACAAACAACATCAATAAGTGTCTGTGAGCTCCACCTCAGTCACTGCAAGCTAATCACAGTCCCCCCAACACTGTTTGTGAAGCCCGCTGAGGAAGGCAATTAAGCCAGCTTCAAAACAGCAATGGCTAGGTTTTAGTTCGGCTAAGGCTGTCACTGAGTAAAATTAATGAGCTTGTTGCTGTTTATGTTGTCGGAGAAGCAGCTTTTTTCTAAGGTAATGGTGAAACCTAACAAGCTACTTTTTTCAGTAGATAATCTTGTAATGTAAGAAGTCGCCTTAAATTGCTCTAAAGAAATGACAGCAATGAAAAATCCCAGCTGAGGTAACCCTAAGCTATCACTTAAATATGCTGGAAAAACAGTGCGGCAACAATGTAGAAAAGAAAATGCACAATCACAATTGGCTGTGTATCACTGTGCCGTAGCTTCTCACCAGGAATTTGCGCTTCTGCTTCCACTGTGCGCCCTGAGCATTGGTGTGACGATGGGCTTCCGTCACCAAGCGGATCAGCTCCCACTCGGCCCCCGTGGGCTCCGGACGGGTCTGGAGGGATTTTACCATCTCCTCCTTCTTACGCCGCTCCCTGTTCTCCTCAATCAGGCGCCGTTTAGCCACCCGTTTTGAGTCATCCAGTACCACTGGAGGGAAAAGGAGGTGGGAAGAGGAGGAGGAAGAAATTAGAAAAAAAAGGCAGGCACACTATTTGTATATCACCTCAAATTTGTTTGCATATATATAAAGTTGCAGCTCCAGCTGTGAAATATTAGGTCCCCGTGCTGTTTAGTCTTACTACCTCTTGAATGTTATTAAAAAAAATAAACAAGTGACATCAATTCATTTTCGTTTTATATTTTTGTGCGTGCACTCACAGTCCATGGCCATGCCCACAGCAATGCACTTCTTGAAGCGGCACAGCTGGCACTGGTTGCGGGTGATCTTGTCGATGATGCAGCAACCATCGTACTTACAGGAGTAGGCCGGGTGGAGGTTCTTCTGAATGGTCCTACGAAAAAAACCCTGGAGGTAGACAGAGCAGGCAGACGTGGATGTGACACAGATGGAGAAATACGAGCACAGTAAAAGCCCTGAAAACATTTTGCTTCCAGCCGCAGCCGCTGCTGCGGAAGGAGACATTTTAATTACCGCTGCTGCGTCTTTACTGTGAAATTTATGTGTTTAATGCAAAATTTGATTAAACGTATTGTCAGCCCCACTTGCTACTAAATCTGAGGCAATTTCTGTGAAAGCTACACGGCGGCCCAATGATCTACGCACAAGACAAACAAACTGTAGATGGAAATGTGAAAGGAGATTTAATATTATGCTTGTATTATTAGATCTAAAGCATTCTTTTGACAGGCGTAGATACTTCTACATACCGAAGGGAAGTGAGCATGAAATATTTACCATAAATCAGATTTATTTGAAAAAAAACAAAAGGAAAAAAAGTCTTTTTTCCCCCCCCAATGCTGCCCAATAACTGAGACATCAAATGCATCATTGCCAGCAACGCTCAATCCCTTCAGTGACGCCTAAATATAAAATGATAAACAAACACATGAGCAAAAGGAAGCAAAGCAGTCTGATCACACAGCACACTGACAGCGAGGAAGACAAATGACACACGGCTCAGAGATGAAGTGACAGCAATATGTGTATGACCTCGGTGCATGGCTGTTCACTATAAAGAGTGTGCGCGTGCACGGCTGTGAGTCGTGTGTCTTGGCACTTGACCTCGAAGGCATTAAATTAAGTTTTCCTGCAGCCATTATGCGGGTTATGAACCTGCTGTGGGCTTCTCTGGGTTTGTGTGTGTACCTTGCAGCCCTCGCAGGTAATGCAGCGGTAGTGGTAACCCGTGGCCTTGTCGCCACACACCACACATGGCTCATCCTTTTCGAGGTAGCTGGGAATGTACCCTGAAAGAGAAAGAACCAATGAAAAGACAGATCGTGTGTTTCTCACCGATGCTGTGGGCGAGCATCTATAAAACAATTACATCCTACCACGGCAGAAGTACTTCATCATCGTCGTCCTTACCTTTTTGTGCTACTGTACATCACTGTGAATTCAAACCTCTGAATAAGAAAGTAAAAGCACATTTGGAGACCTTGGAAGGAACACAACAGTAGTGTTCGAGTTTTTCACTGTGATGCCTGAATAAAAAAAATCGTCTGTTTCTTCACATCATTTAACCTGCAGGGTAACGCAGTCAGTACCTTTCTAATAGGGACAAGTGCTAATAATTCAAATAGGGCCACTAGACTATACCCACACAGTTTCTGTGGTGAACAGTACCGCTACGCAGCCTGTGGCACCTTTAAAGTGGTCAATGGGAGTTCACTTTCCAGCATCATATTTTTAGTTTTAGACTTTACTAGTGTAATTTTGCATGATTCACATAATAAAAAACTAAGTTACTTATGTTACTGTGACCTTTGAAGCCAAACGGTTTTAGCTCTCGTCTCTTTAAAGCTCCCCTCCTAGTAAACTGTAATGGTTTAACCTTTCTACAGCCATGCAGACGAGCACATCAGTGCACTGTGACACCGCTGTGTGGTTACAGAGGCAGCAGAGCTCACAATCAACCCCACTTACCCTCTGGTGCTACAGTAAATGTGGCCGGAGTTGAAATACTTCTTTTTACACTGGCATATGATAATGCTCTGAGGAGAGCATGTAAGAAGTGAACCCCCATTTGTAATTAGTCTTTAATTAGCAAACAGGATATTCAACAAGGTTTCCAAGTAACTAATAGGGTTAGACTGGGAGGAAGCTGTATTACATGAATTACTTTGGAAAGTCTGCAAACTTTGTTTTAAACTAAAACAAGAAAAAAGTACTATGCATATTTTCCTACTTCAGTCATTCCTTTAAGTTGTGTACTGACACAAAGCTACTCAAATTACTGTGGTCACACAATTAAACACACAAGAGCTTTACTGTTTGGTTTGATCCTAACTGAGCTGAGGTTCTCACAGCAGATACTACAGCGCCAGCTCATCTAAAGTGACAGTATTTGGATTGTTCTCTTTCTGTCCTATTTCACAGTCGTTCCTCTGCTTTAAACTCAGAAAAGGCACAGTTTGTTCTTTTTTCCATACTGCGAGACCAAAAAAGCAAGCAAGGAGACACAGGAAATAGCAGATTTGCAGACATTTCATGTGATATTTACAGTAGCTATGAAGCTGGGAGGGGCGGAGACGATGCACTACAAGTCGCAAAAAAATTCAGTGTGGGTGTTTTAAGTGCAGCCCCACACAAATCTCTGCACTTTGCACATACACGCACTGTGTGTGAGGATCGGGGTGTTGAGATTGTGATCTATCACACAGTATCACCAAGGAAGCGTCTGATTGGTCCCAAATTCATTCTGCAGCACGACAAAGACCCCAATCATAAAGAAAGAAGACTAAAGGTTCGCGCAACAGATGGTTCGGTCCCCACAGAGTTTCAGATTACATTAGGAGACGGAAGCGAATCCACAGAAGAACTGTGGCAAGCTCTCGGTGATTCAAAGAAAAAAAAAAAGCTGAAAAACCGGTGATGTTAAAGGCAAAGTACACAATAAGTATTGATTTAATGTAGTTTTACTTTTTCTATTGATTATATTTCTATTAAAAAAATGATATAGAAAATCTAATGAGGGATATCTTTGAAAGCCTGCTTTTCTTTATTTTTAGCGGTTAAAAATGGATCCAGTGATATACGCTTTTGTGTGTCTGTGTGCGTACACCAAGGCGTGGTGAGAGCAGTGACTGGCAGTGTCAGTTGGGCTCTGCCTTTTTGGCTCGGTTACAGATTTTAGAGGAGGAGGGGGAAGGCAAGAAGCGGATAGTGGGAAGAAGAGAAAAAAGACAAAAGAGAGAGAAGAGCACTTGCCAAAGGCACAAAAGTGACAGTTTTCCAAACTGAGGAGCACTCGGCTTCTTTCTGTCAAATTTAAAAAAAAAAAAAAAAGATAAGAAGAACTTATCTAAAAAGAGAAAAAGAAAGAAAAGTAGTAAAAGGGAGGTGAGCCAGAGAAATGACAAAAGGTCAGATGGGAGAATGCAGGAGGGGAAAGAGGTTTAAAAAGGAGTCAGAAGAACCAGAGAACCATCACATAAGATAAAATGTGAGCCCCGCTGTGTTGGCAGGGCAGGCAGCAGCAGGCGGATCCCCGAGCCGCTGCTGTGCTGTGTTTGGAAGCCAAGCCCAAAATCAATACCGCTGCAGCTCTCTGGCTCTGGCTGCCGGCCCCTCCCAGACGGGCCACCAGCAAAACGCAGGAAAAGGAAGGAGATTTTTCAAGTGTGGCTGAGTCAAGATAAATATTTTGTCTCCGCAAGTTTCCCACCATAACACTTGCCGTTTTTGTTTTATCAAAGTGTGTGTGCATGTGAGAGTATGTCTGTGTGTGTGAGTGAAATCGGGTGGGGAGGGGCGTTTGAATCCCTGAAGGAGTCTCGGGATTGTTTCTTAGAGGTCCTTACATGACAACATCCAAGCGAGGTGACATTTGAAACTGTAAACACTGATGACACCGGAGGACAATACTACACCGATAGCTGGAGTTGAATCAACAGCTATTACGCAAAGCTAAGTGCAGCTGTGTTTATTGTCCCTTCCCTGAATGCCACTTAAAATCTATTGCTGTAAATGGATTAAATGCTGTGTTTATGTACCGCTGAAAGGGCCCGAGAAGAATTGATCAAACTACCAATTATGGCAAACGTGGCAAAAATCGTTTTGGTCAATGCGCTTTTGTCTGGTGCTTTTTGTTTTAAACAGCCTTCTTTTAAGCGGTGGACGTCCTTGAACTTTTAATAAATGAATTAAGTTAAAATGAAACTAAAATAGCGGTGGGCACAGGGTTGCTCTGTCAGAGGAGGGTTTATTTTTGCCTGGGAACATAATCCTGCAGGGGCAAAAGCCAGTTTCTGGTTCCTTTACAGAAGATGTGAAAATGCAGACAAAGGGAGCGACAAGAAACTGAGGTGGCAGAAGGCTTGTGCACTTTGAGAGAACGGAAAATAGAGTAATGTGCAAAGGAAAAAAAGAGAATCAGTGCATCCAAAATCCTTGCATTCGCTCCTGCTTATCCTTGTCAGGGTCGCGGGGGGCGCTTGAGCCTATCCCAGCTGTCTTAGGGTGAGAGGCAGGGTACACCCTGGATAGGTTGCCAGTCTGTCGCAGGGCTAACACACAGACAGAGACAAACAACCACACTCACATTCACTCCCCTATTCACACCTATAGGCAATTTAGTGTTTCCAATTAACCTATCCCCACTAACTGCATGTCTCTGGATTGTGGGAGGAAGCCGGAGCACCCGGAGAGAACCCACGCAAACACAGGGAGAACATGCAAACTCCACATAGAAAGACCCCGGCCTGATGGTGGAATTGAACTCAGGCAACAGTGCTGACATCCATGCCACTGTGCTTGCCCTTCATCCAAAATCGAAAACCTAAAATGTTTGATGCACATATTACCAGTAATGCCAGTAATCCAAAACCTCAGTCTTCAGTCTGCAGTCAAAGCTCGTACAAGTTTTTGGTTTAAAGGATGCAACAGTTTGTAACATCATCACAGCCCTGTAAGCACTTATCCTGGCATTTTGGGTGCTCTGGACTTCTTGCAATCTTCTACCGATTGATTAAAAACAAAGAAACTTTTTCAAGCTGTTTCAGCTTTTCCTTGGTGTAATCTGAGATGTTCTGAGCTCCTGCACATATAACTGACTTGATTGTACACTTCTGTGTCCAGCCTGGAGAACTGGAAGGGGCACGACAAGCTGAAATTACACCAAATGTGCCATATGGATAATAAGGACATGAATGGCTCATTAGCGATTCATGCAAAGCTACTCTTGTAAAGTAGCTCTACTGTAAATCTACTATCTATCAAGATGATTTGGTTACCTAGGCTTAGATTATTGGCTTCATTATTAACATATTATAATCGTCTATATTTATGCTAGTCGCCTATTAATGCACTGTATGGACACAACACAATGATATTATGGTTGTTAAGGTATCCATTCACTTGCTGAGGGTTGGTCCACTCTCAGAGGAAAATTCTGACAGTGTATATAATTGAATCTCAGACAACCATGCCCCTAAGACAGACATACTGTCATACTTTCCCAGTTCAAATGAACCATGGCAGGTAAAGCATGGCACAAGCAGTCATGCAGGGAGGAAGCCTGCTGGGAGGGGAAACATTTGGACTCAGCCTTGGGAGATATATTTTATTAAATCAGCTATCCTGTAGACTTGGATTTTTATGTTGGTGTTCCTCCCACTCTATCGCTCCCAATCTCTCACCTCCCTTCCTCACTCGCTTCTTCCAGCTCAGGGGATTTGGAGCTGTCACTCTGACAATGAACTGCATCCAACATGAAAACAGACAAAGCAGAAGGCTTTCGTTTATTGATGACAGGTGCCAAGATGTTTTACTTCTTCTCTTTGCTCTTGACAAATTGAAAGTGTAATGTACACGCGGCAGGAATCAATCTTGTGCTTAACTTCTTTGCAGTCACTCACTCAGTGCTTGGGTACACTGTGGCGAGACTGAGAGTCCTTTTTTATAAAGCAAAAAAGATTCAGAGAATCCAAAAATATATCAAACACCTCCAAAACAAAGTGCTGGAAAAGCAATTTTCAAAATGAATGGTTACCTATATTTGGAGACTGTTTGTTCTCTAAAGTAAAGGGGTACATCTGAAGACGTCAGGCATATTTCAGGTAAGAGAAGTGCTTTTTTCTTAGGTGCCACTCCAGAGAGTCAATCCATCAGACACTCACCAGTCATGCTCTTCACCGAACATTGGCTGTTCTTCCTCTTCCTTTTTGGGCCATTGAGCCACCTGAGAAATAACAAAGGAACAAAGAGAGACAAGCAAAGAGGAACAATCAACGCCTGTAAATATACAACACTTATTTCTGTAAAGCTGTATGTATGTAGGTCATAAAGAAAATATATAGCCAGGTATGCCAAACACATCACAGTCTGAGCTGAATCAGACAAATCACATCTGGAGGGGGTTTGGCTCACACTGACATCACATTGCAGGCAGGTGTCTGGTTGTTCAGCCAGACAGATTATGTGCCCTCAATTGTGATTTTTCAAATTGCACATCAAAGAACTGCAGACAAATGCTTTCTCCGCGAATGGAAAATAAGTAGATCTGATACAATAGCACCGTTTCCCTTTATGCCAACAAAACCAATCAGCAATGTGGCCACATCGTGAGGGGAAGCCAGCAGATATATTATGTTCCATCCAGTGGTCACTGATTATAAATACAGGTAAGTTCTGTTATATGTCTTTAGATGACAGATGGTAGCTTTGAGCTTGCATTTTGGCAAACACATGGTCAGCACTTCTGTTTATAGAGATTCGTCAGCTTCAAAATCAAGCTAATGAGAATCAATACCAGATGGAAATATCATTTTCCAAGTAATCCAAGTCTCCACGTTAATATCAGGTATAAATGGGCTCCAGGACAGATCTATAAACAACAGATCGAGTGACTAAGAGATAATGTAATCTGTATAATTCATGCTAAACCATATATGGAAAGTAAACTGGCTTCTCTATTTGTGTAAACCTTCTCCCTATATCCATTTACCAGCCAAGCATCTGGTACTCAAATCACGTAGAGATATAGGAGCATGATTTGCCACCATAAATTTTAATTTTCAGTTGTAACTGAGCTCTCTAGACCAAAAGTTAAGTCATAAAGTTTATGTCAAAGAAAAAGGCAACTTTACTTGCAGCAAATTGATGCATTTTGGCAGTAAAAGCTGAAAGTGCTCCCAAACTGAATCCAAGTAGCAGGAAAAAGACTTTGCGGGGAATACTAGTAAGGTCCCCAAAACCACGCCAATTACGAGAGCGCTCATGGGGAAACCCCACAATAGCAGCCGAAAGACAAGAACTGCAAAGAGTGTAGGTGTCAACCATGCAGCCAAAAGCAACACGCATTCACAGCAAGGATGTGCACACACACCTGAAGCCACGCTGACACATGTGGAAGGCATGTAAAGCGCAGATGGGAGCTGGCTGCTTGCAGGAGAGTTATGAAAGCAGAGAGAGGTGAGGTAAGGGGGGTTATGAAAAGCGAGTACAGTATGGGCCGGAGTCAGCGAGTGCTCCCTGCAAGTCTGGGATGTGTTTAGAATCCCAAGAGTCCAGCTCTTTGCTCTCTAACAGCCTCCGGCTCTCCTCCCACACCAGGACCCTTTAACGCCAGCTCCAGGAGAGGGAGCAGGACTCCATTACAACCATAAATAAACTGAGCTCCAACTCTGCTGGACTCTAGGTCACAACACACAAGCCTCTGAGTTAAATTTGCTCTGTGACAGAGATGTATAAGAGTGTACTCTTTATTAATGGGTGAAAGGATCCTTCCTCTGCTGCTACATTTTAATCTTATGAAAGGAGTTTTTAATGAGAGAGTCGCTGCCTTTCTAATGACATAACCGGGTTCAAATGGCGGTCACGGCAAGCCGTCCCTGATTAGCTACTGCAATAAGACATCCAAAGACAGGCATCTAGAGAGATGGATAATTTAATAATTTAAATACTCTTAACTTAAGCATATGAGTGGATTTGAATAGTAAACTTAAAATGGGACTGAACTTCCTAACTCAAGTTGACAAATCATCCCTTTATTAAGTAAAGTTCATGCAAGCTGTTGCCCTGTTAGCCATCAACAACAAATAAATAAAAGGTAGGTTAGTCTCCTCCAGACTGTACATGGATAAAGGAGCGTTAGCCACTGTGAAGTCAGCCATTGTTTGCATACTTGAATTCAGAAGTCTCAACTTTAGCTTATTGCTGTTGCCATCTTGGTCTCTAAAGCCACAATTGGACAATAGTGTAAGCTCCAACTTACCTAATACTAGCAGTGAATTCACATTTTTAGACCCAGCACACTTTCAAGAACGCGAGAAAGTAAGTGTCATCTTAATCAAAAAAAATCATAACACGCTTTTCTATTTTCTAGCCTTTTTGTAAAACAGTAAATCTGAAAACTCACGAATAGCAACAATATGAACTGTTTCATGAAATAAATCCAAAAAAGCATCAACATGGACAGTTCAGTGGCTTGATGAGCTTTAAAATCTAGCTGATGCATTTAATAAAGAATAGCTTTAAGCTTGATATAATTTGAACAAATGACTTGCAAAAATATTCAACTGCCATCCAGACTCCATGAACTGTATGGAGGAAGTTAGCGTTTTAACATGAGAGCGTGGCTTCTGGAGCCTTCTTGCTTTATGAAGCGATAAACTCTCTTAACCTAAATGAACAGAAAACAGAGGTGATTGTGTTTGGTCCCTGTGACCACTGCGACTTTGGCCCCTTAGAAATGTTTAAAAAAAAAAAAAACCTTTGCGAGGAACCTAGGAGTGATTTTTGACTCCAATGTAATGTTTGATAAACAGATCAATGCTGTAATCAAGTTTTTTTCATCTTCGGCTACTTGCTAAAGTGAAGCCATTTCTCTTTTTTAGAGACTTTGAGAGAGCTATCCATGCCTTCATTTCATCTTGCCTCGACTATTGTAATAGTCTTTACTCTGCTGTTAGCCTGTCATCAGTTAGCCGTCTGCAGCTGGTCCAAAACACTGCAGCACGGTTACTAAGTGGCACACGCAAGCGAGAACACATATCTCCCATACTGGCATCATTACACTGTCTGCCAGTTAGTTTTCAAATTAATTTTAAGATTTTATTATTTGTTTTAAAGGCGTTGCATGGGTTAGCACCCTCATTCCTTTCCGATCTTTTAAATTGATACACTCCTGCAAACTCCTGCAAAATCACTGAGGTCTGCAGAATTCAAGTACAGAGGAGATCGGGACTTTGGTGCTCCTAAATTGTGGAACAAATTGCCCCTTCACATCAGGACCTCCCCAACACTGGAAACTTTCAAAACCCGTCTGAAAACCAACTTTTACTCCCTGGCTTTTAAATCAGAATGAGTTTGTATGACTTTTATTGATCTTATGTTTTACTCAAATCTTCTAATTTGATGATTGTTTTTCTTAACTTTTATCATGTCTCCCTATGTTTTTCTCTTTTGATTATCTTAATTGTACAGCCATGTGCCATATAAATAAATTTGACTTTGACTTTGATAAAGCGCTATACTGCCATGATTGCAGCTCTCAGTATGTCTTGTTTACACAAAGACAAAACAAAAAAGTTCTACACTAAATGAGCTCCAGTCATGTTACTCATTGCTTAATGTTTCTGTGGCTATATAGCACATTTTTCTTCTCTGCTCTCTTGGTCAAAAAAAAACCACACGTCTGATAAACAACATGTTTTATGTTACTGCTTCTAAATGAGACACAGGCTTTTCTTTTCTCCTCTAAGAGAGCATGTTTTTGTGTTTCACACCAGCAAACATTGTCTCCAACTGGGAAACATAACAATATAATTACCTGTCAGGCTCACGAGTTGCTATAATTGTGCATGAATGCCGGCTCAAACTACCCTTCATATTTTAAACTGGTTTTAATTATAGCAGTGTCTTGTTCTCAGCTATGGTTCCCTTTTGCACTTTTCAGAATACAAATGTGTATTATACTGGGCTCTTGAACAGCCTGTTGAATTAAGGCTTGATTTATCATGACTGTTGGGTATCTTCTTTAGTGGATTTCAGTGGTCAAAAGCACGGTATAATGTTACTGGCACTGACAACCGTCTCCATTTCTAGCAGTTATGCTGCTCACCTGTGAAGCAACACTTCTACATACAACAACAAATTGATGCAATATGCATATTTTACAAAGTAATACCTAAAGAAATCCGAGAGCCTTTGAACACGGCTGTTGTTTTTCATTCACTTTGTGGGCAAACATGTCAGTTAAAGTGCCAGTAGGATGCGAAAAAAAAAGAATTAAAGCTGTCACAGCAGCAGAAAGATGCGATGGGGTTTTCACTCAATGCCACTCAAAGGTAAATATCTCTCCCTCTGCCAACTGGCTCCAACATCACTCCACGGAGCTGCTGGAGGCGACAACCATCAGACTGTCAGCTATGTGACAGCTCAGTCTTCCAGTGCAGCAGCATGTTGGTGCAGATGGGAACATCAGCAAACGGGATGACATCAGATACTCATTAATCAGGTCTCTGTCACTCCTACAAGGACTATACTTCTATACTACACTAAACACTATCCTATACCTCTGCATTTCTGTACAGAGAGTTTGCACAAACCCTAAGGTGCCGCAACACAAGCTCGGCAACGTGAGCTCTGATGAATGATGCAACAAATGGCAGAGTAATGACTAGTGATTCACTGAAAATTATAACAAAATAATAACAAAAACACAGAAACAACAGCTCTTTCTGACCAATTTTAACTAGTGACAGGAAAAAAGGAAATACTTTTCCCTAGCAACCGGTGGTTGCTAACTGGTCTCTAGGCCTTTGTGACCAGAGCAGCCAGCTAGCCTTAGCTAGCTAACGTGGACCACTTGAAAAACAGCGAGAAGATGAGGATCAACAGCAGCCGCAAGTGCAGAGAAACAAACTTTGTATTAAATCAAAATAAGAATTACGTAACCAACAGAGTGAGTTTCTACAAATATGCAAGAGAGGTTTATAGCCACAGTAAAAAGCATGCTATTAGCATCAGCTAAAGCCATGATAAAATAGGCTATAACCCACCCTAACTTCAAATGTAGTCATGATGTCACATCCACATTGTGGTACCACAACTTAGAACTTATTACCAGATGGCAATGCCTAAAATCAAGGCTTTAATATGGGAATCCAGAAGCTAATGAGTCATATTACATTGCCTATCTCCGCCTTTTATATACAGTCTATGCAGTAACCTCAGAGG